TTGAATATTGTTAGTTTTGTCAACATTCCTTATCATTCCGATAATATACGTATTATCTTACTACAAAATCAGCTAACATATCTTTTGGATATTAATATTAGCTAAGATTGACTCCGTTTTATTAAATCTAATTGGTTAAGTCCAGATCTAAATATTGGATCAAACACTTTGGTGTCGTTTTTGGGGACTTCTTATCTAATCTTTTAGTTTCCTTTAGATCTACTAATCACGTGAGTTGCTAACCTAAAAAACTGCAAGGTTTTTCTCTTTCTCTACGTGTACGGTAATTTACATGGCAGGTACCAAGGAGACAGGACTAAAGTGACAGGTGACATCTCCGTCAACCATATGAATGCTATCAACGAGATCTATGAAATGATAGGCGATGACGTGATACCCACTGCCTCCCCAAGGCACGAGAGGTGACCTTCCCCCCTCCCCAATTATAGCACAACAAAACCAAAGGGAAAACGGACCTCGACGTCCACAGGAGAATGAACTCCATAGGCCATGAAAAAGCTCCCTAAAGCATGGTTGACCAACACCTTAGTAAGTGTTCTCAACAAAAAAGATCCGTGCATGACCATAGAGACCGCAAAAGATCATACGGTATAACGAGGAGACGAACACGGAGATCAACCAGACCCTCCAACGCTAGGTATAACTCATAATGTTACTAACAGTGCAGGTAATGGTGTCCTCACCGATGTTCTGAATAGAATGGAAGAAAGGACAATAAGAACAAAAAGCTCAGAGATCAAATAAAAGAACACTAAGAATGAGTTAACAAGATACCGAGCCCCCCTAAGCTACTGCCAAAGAGGGATGCCGTAGGTTCGTAGAGCAGCTGTATAGCGAAGAAGCAGCCCCACATGCCATACCAAAGACCTTCAAATTGCCACCATATCTCAGGATATATGACGGCACAACCGACCCTGAAGATCACGTGACTCATTGCATCACCGCTGTGAAGGGCAACGATCTTGCCAAGGAACAAGTGTCCTCTATTTTGCTGAAGAAAATTGGCGAAACCCTCATGGGAGGGGCATTAATATGGTATTCACAGCTACCAGCCCGCTTCATGGAAACCTTCGAAGAAATGGCCGATAAGCTTGTGACGGTGCACACCGAGGCCAAGAATGCCGAAATAAGAGTAAACGACATCTTCGCCGTCAAGCAGTCCCTAGGAGAGGGACCGAGGGACTTTCTTGCCAGATTCAACAGGGTGAGGATGACCTTACCAAATGTGTCCAAAGGGATGGCAGTCATAGCCTTTCAGAACGGGTTGAGAAGAGAGGGTTCAAGAACGACAAGAAAACTGTTGAGCCGGTTAATGAAGTACCCTCCAACCACTTGGGATGAAATCCATAATGCTTATTGTGCCGAAGTCCGAGCAGATGATGACGACCTTAACGGACTGAATCGATGGCTTGTCTCGGTACAAGTTGAGCCTAGACGAAGAGATAATGTAAGGAGGGTCACCTAGTCTCACGGCCAAACAGGGAATGACATTAGCCTTACGTCGGGACCCCCGCCCCTCCCTCCTTACGCTATGATGATGGCCCATGTAGGCCGAGGACGGGGACTCACAAGAACAAGAGAGGTATGCCCCCTTATTATCTTCTCACATTATTTGTGTATCCTCTACAGAAATAGTGTACGCCTTGGAGAAACTCAGAACGACGGTGAAATGGCAGCCGAAGATGAGGTCCGACCCGAGTACCAGAATATCCGATGCCCTTTGCAAATTCCAGCAGGAACGCAGACACAAGACAAAAGATTGCAAGGCAAGAAGTTATGAACATGTTGCAGCAAGGACACCTCAAAGAGTTGCTAAGCGACAAGGGGATGAACAACTTCTCCAGAGGTCGTAAACGTCAAGACCCGCTGAAGCCCTCACCGCCTCGTACCATCAACATTGGCGAAGGGCAACGATCTTGCCAAGGAACAAGTGTCCTCTATTTTGCTGAAGAAAATTGGCGAAACCCTCATGGGAGGGGCATTAATATGGTATTCACAGCTACTAGCCCGCTTCATGGAAACCTTCGAAGAAATGGCCGATAAGCTTGTGACGGTGCACACCGAGGCCAAGAATGCCGAAATAAGAGTAAACGACATCTTCGCCGTCAAGCAGTCCCTAGGAGAGGGACCGAGGGACTTTCTTGCCAGATTCAACAGGGTGAGGATGACCTTACCAAATGTGTCCAAAGGGATGGCAGTCATAGCCTTTCAGAACGGGTTGAGAAGAGAGGGTTCAAGAACGACAAGAAAACTGTTGAGCCGGTTAATGAAGTACCCTCCAACCACTTGGGATGAAATCCATAATGCTTATTGTGCCGAAGTCCGAGCAGATGATGACGACCTTAACGGACTGAATCGATGGCTTGTCTCGGTACAAGTTGAGCCTAGACGAAGAGATAATGTAAGGAGGGATCACCTAGTCTCACGGCCAAACAGGGAATGACATTAGCCTTACGTCGGGACCCCCGCCCCTCCTTCCTTACGCTATGATGATGGCCCATGTAGGCCGAGGACGGGGACTCACAAGTACGAGAGAGGTATGCCCCCTTATTATCTTCTCACATTATTTGTGTATCCTCTACAGAAATAGTGTACGCCTTGGAGAAACTCAGAACGAGGGTGAAATGGAAGCCGAAGATGAGGTCCGACCCGAGTACCAGAATATCCGATGCCCTTTGCAAATTCCAGCAGGAACGCAGACACAAGACAAAAGATTGCAAGGCAAGAAGTTATGAACATGTTGCAGCAAGGACACCTCAAAGAGTTGCTGAGCGACAAGGGGATGAACAACTTCGCCAGAGGTCGTAAACGTCAAGGCCCGTTGAAGCCCTCACCGCCTCATACCATCAACATGATTATCGATGGTAGCAATGATGCCTCCATCAATGGCGTCAAGTTCACTGCTATTTACAAGCTCAAAAGATCGATCCCCCATAAAGCATATGACGGACTCGAAGAGAGTATCAACTTCGACGAGCCAAATATCAACGATTTGACTTTCCCTCACAATGATGCTCTCATCATTACTTTATGAATTTTAGATACTAATGTCATATGTATCATGGTGGACGACGGAACTGGAGCGTGCATTACCCATCCCCAAGACCTTGCCCAGATAAGACTCGAGGACAAGATAGTTCCCTGCTACATAACACTAACCGATTTTAATAAAGCAATTGTAAGGACCACGGGAGAAACTACACTCACCGTCCTCGCCGGCGGCATAACTCTGGAGACAACTTTCTACATCATGGACCAGGCCACATACAATGCCATAGTAGGACGACCATGGATACATCCCATGAGAGTCCTCCCCTCCAGCTTATACCAAGTGACCAAGTTGCCAACACCTTGGGGAATATTCAGCATATGCAGGGAACAATGCACGTCCCAGGAATGCTACCGACCATGGATGGCTCGATGATCCTACAAAAGAAAGATAAGGAACAAGAAGCATATCAATCAACAGGGTCAAGGTTGACACGATAAAAGACCAAGGACGTCATCACGGACCCTAAAACAGTCGAAGCTGCGGACTCAACTTTAGAAGACCTCGACCCCGTTCAATTAGATCCTAGCGACCCCAAAGGCCTACATCGGCTACAAACTCCGAGAATCAAGTAAATTTAGTCAATTTTTAATATCTAATATAGATTTGTTTGCCTTCAGCTATGCAGATATGTCGGGCATCCCCAAAGTGATCGCCACACATAATTTGAATGTCAACCCATTATATCCCCCCGTAAGGCAGGTTAGACAAAATTTTAACTCCACCATCAATGATGTCGTTCACGAGGAGGTAGAAAAGCTATTAGAAAAATGGCTCCATTAGGGAGTCAAAATATCCCAAGTGGATAGCCAACATGGTGATGGTCAAAAAGAAAAAGGGGAAATGGAGGATATGTGTAGACTTCGCAGACTTAAACAAAGCATGCCCGGAGGATTCATTCTCGTTGCTAAATATCGATCAAATCATCGACGCAACAGCCGGGCACAAGCTGCTGAATTTCCTGGATGCATATTCGGGCTATAACCAGATACATATGGAAGAAGAGGACAAGGGGAAAACTACGTTCAACACCCACCAAGGAACATATTGTTATAGGGTCGTGTCGTTCAGGTTGAAGAACGCAGGAGCCACCTATTAGAGATTGGTCACGAGAATCTTCAAAGACCAACTTGGCAAGACCGTGGAGGTATATATCGACAACATACTGGTCAAATCCGTAAGGGCATAAGACCATATCGACCATTTGAAGGAAGCTTTCGACAAACTATGACGGTACGGGATGAAACTAAACCCAAAGAAATGCACATTTGGCGTAGCCTCGAGGAAGAATTTGGGTTTCTTAGTGTCACAACGAGGGATCGAAGTCTACCCTGACCAAATCAAAGCTATCGAAGGGATACCTGAGCAACTGACTACTAAGAAGCAGGTCCAAAGGTTGAGTCGTCAAATCGCCACCCTATCGAGATTTATCTCGCGGTCATCCAATAAATGTCACAGATTTACAACCTCGAGTGGACACCCGATTGCGTACAAGCTCTAAGAGAACTAAAGGCATATCTGTCTCACCACCTCTGCTCTCGAAGCCCGAACCCGGGCACCTCCTCGTCTACCTCGCCGTCTCCGAAGTGGCAGTAAGTGTAGTCCTGGTCCGAGATAGTAAAGTTACGCAATCTTCCATTTATTACATTAATAAAACGTTCATCAACGCCAAGACGAGGTACCCACACCTCGAGAAACTGGCCCCGGCATTAGTCATAGCTTCACGAAAGCTTAGATCCTATTTCTAGTGCCACCCTATCTCGGTCATTACCACCTTTCCTTTAAGAAGAATTTTACATAGACCCGAATTGTCGGGGAGGCTGACCAAGTGGGCCATCGAGCAAAGCTAGCACGATATCAAATATCAGCTCGAACAATAATAAAGTCGCAAGCGCTCGCCGACTTCGTCGCAGACTTCAGCACAAAGATAATGCCTGAGATCAAGAAGGAAGCCATCCAAGCTTCTCTTCAAGATCTCTGGGTCCTGTACACCGACGGCGCATCCAATGCTTCTGGATCTGGACTGGGACTCGTGCTCGAGGTCCCTACCGTCGAAGTAATTCGCCAATCCATAAGATGCTCAGGTATGACTAACAACGAGGTCGATTATGAGGCCGTAATTGCAGGATTGAGACTAGCACTCAAATATGGGGCGAAGCGGTTGAAACTCCATGGTGATTCACAACTCGTAGTCAACCAAGTCGCAGGAACTTTCCAAATCAAAGAACAAAGGTTGAAAGAAGATCAAACTGAGATCTGTAAGTTGCTGCCCAATTTTGGCGAATGCCAGCTCGACCAGATCCCGCGAGCCCAGAATGTCAAAGCACACGGCCTGGCCAAACTGACCGCACCCACCAAAAGCATCACAACTGGGATAAAAATGTATTCTACCTCCTCAACTCGTTAGACCAAATCGGGGTAAGATCTGTAAGTTTAACTTGGGATTAGCAAAATTGTATTTTCCCCGGCACATGCCCAAACTACAAAAAGGAAGTCAAAAATTTAAGAATGCAAGCGGCCAAATACAGCCTCTTTCATAACGACTTATACAAAAGAACATACGGTGGCCCTCTAGTAAAGTGTTTGGGTCCAAAACAAAACCAGCGCATTCTCGAAGAGGTCCATGAAGTCCACTGAGGCGTTTACTCTGGTGATCGAGCACTCGCTAGGTGCCTCATACGGGCAGGATACTACTGGCCCACCATGAAAATAGACACCTCAGAATTTGTGAAGAAACGCGAACAATGTCAGAAATACGCCCCAACAATTCACCAAGCAGGCAAACATCTCACTCAGTCACCTCTCCATGACCGTTCATCAAGTGGGGAATGGATATCATGGGCCCCATCCTGGTAGGGCAAGGTAATGTGCGATTCTTTTTTATTTTAACTACCTATTTCTCTAAATGGGTGGAAGCAGGAGCGATCACCCAAATACACGAACAAGAGGTAATCACCTTCATATGGAAAAACATTATCTGCCGATTCGGCCTACCCAAGGAGATAAACTGCGAAAACAGACCCAAGTTCACAGGAAAGAAAATCGCTGAATTCCTCGAGAAATTGCACATTAAGAGGATACTTTCAATCCCTTATCACTCGACAGGCAACGGTCAGGTAGAATCTCCCAGCAAGTCCATATTAAATAACATGAAAAAAAACTCAAAGACGCCAAGGGACTGTGGATGGTAATTGATTCTTCAGGAGTGGGCACCACTATATGCTTATTGCCCCCATTGCAATCCTTTTTAACATGGGAAATGAGTTTATTGGAGATCGATCATATATATCTCGATACAAGGTCACATCTACCCGGTATTAAGGAACCTTTCTCGACCTTAAAATTGGACTCAATGACGCACGGCGGAGGAAAGAATTCTTCAGAGCGTGGCTCTGCCGCGGCTTCCTTGCCGACGAGCCTTGATGAGGAAGCCTTTTCCTTTTGAGGAACGCTTTTTGAAGTTTTAGCCGTGTAAGGATGAAGAAAAGCGGAAGATGAAGAGAAATACTTAGTATTTTGCAATGAAACGAGTAAAGAAATCCCAGGAATTGGAGACACAAAGATTTGAGGAAGGTGAAGAACTGAGAAAGTAAGAATGAGAAAGAGTTGAAGGTAAAGTTTGAAAAGGTGAACAAGAAAGATATTTATAGAATCTTAATGACGGTTCAAAAAAGGTAATGGCCGACCGGCAACTGACATATATTAAATGCCTAGGAAACTGTACCGACGAGACTACCTCTGCTGCTTACGTCATGATGTTGACGCCATGATATATCAAGGAAAAGATCGAGGGATCAAGTCATTTCTTGTCATTACTCTCCAAAAAATGAGGGGACTATCTGTATATGGTCAAATTGAATGGCCCTTTTCTCGACTGACCGAGGCTAGAATGTGGTAGGTCTAGGTTTGGCTTCGATTTTTATCTATGGGGCGGGGTTAAGTTATCGAGACCCTGGGACCGATTAAGCTCGGGGACTTGAGGTCGATTAAGATTGAGGTCGATCAAGATCGAGACCAAATAAGATGGAGATCGAAACTAAGTCGAGTAACAGATATTCGAGATATCCGGGATCGGCCCAGGATCGTGGTAAGAATCTCGGCACGAATCAAGTCAAGACCGGTTGTTTAGCTAATCACGGGATTTCCTTTCCATATTTAGAATTGTACCTTAAATAGAATTTCTCTACTATATAAAGGGGGTTCTAATCATTTTTGTAAGGATTACATTCATGTATAACAAAGCAATATAACATATTTTTCTCTCTTAAGCTCTGTTGTTTAGTTCATAATTTTTAAGCATACTCTGTTGGTTTGAGGGCAGTCTAGCTCGAAGGCCATAACCGCTTGTTACATTGGTTTATTTTATTTTTCAATTAAATTTCCAGCATTAATTCTCTTATTTCTTAGTTTGTGCCAAGTGAAATCACATATCCTTAAAACCACTTATAAGTTTAATTGTTATCCAATTTTAAGGATAAACACAAACAAATGGAAATGAAGTGAAGATTTGACTAAATTTGATTAGGAAAGAAGATAACACACGAACTAGTTTCTTTGTCAATTTATTTTTCTAAAATTAATTCATCCACCCATGTTTTTACCATCCCTGGCGGTGGAGGTTTGGCCTGGACCCCTACCTTGTATATTATTAACAAAAAGTGTACAATAGCGAGCAACATAAAACCGGAACCTCTAAAATACATAAAGGATATACAAGGGGAAGGGGAAACTAATTAAGGGGAAGTTTCCTTCTACATATAAGCTCTCAAAACAAATAGGCCCTATGGCCATATTAGGATATTCTGCCAGAATCCATATTACCCAATACCTTTCTTTTGCCATCTGATTCTAAAATGCCTTGTAAAATTTGGCATTCCAATTTTGTCCAAGATATAGGCTCCTTTCACATGACGATGGAGCTCATTAATTTGAGAAAAGATCATCTTCAATAGCACATACAGAAAATTTGAAAAACATGTAATTTCAACTCTATAGACATTCGAGAAAATAAGTCAAAAGTCTTCCACGTACTTTTCATTCAATAACACAAAGAAAAATGAGGAGGTGAAATACGTCAATGATGACTACAATAAATACTTACCCAAACCCGATGCAGTTGTAAAGCCAGCTAGCTATGTGTTATCGTACGTGCACAATAATTTAATTTTGTCTTTCTCGTTGCCTACTACTACTTCAGTACTTTGTTCTTCTTCATTAATGATCTCTTGCAAGTCAAACATGGTAGGGTCAAAACAACCAGAAAATCTCATTAACTATCAAGCATTAGATGTACAAACCTGAAAATCTTGTTTCCTCACCTCTTTTATTAAATAAACTATAGTCACATATCGTTCCAAAAACATTAATTACCTGGAAATGACAACTCGCCTAATTTTTAAGAGAGGAAAAGAACTACTCCTATATATGATGACCACATTAAGCTAAGCTACAGTAGTTGACATTATTCAATGGTTCTGATTTCTGATCATGCCATGACATTCATACGCCTATATATCAATGTTGATCACATCAATCACCTTCCGTTGCAACGAATGAAGATTGATCCATTTCTCATCACATGCCTGCAGTAGGATGATTAATTATAGGCGGTTCAATTTGGTCAAACAACAAATGGAAACCAAAAATCAAAACAAAACTTTTTTTCCTCACTTTCAATGTACTTCCGTCGTATCAATGTATATTACCCTAGTTTATATTATCCTAGTTTGACTCGATACAGAGTTTTAAAAAAAAAAACTTTTGAAACTTCTAGCACCTGTTTGGCTATAGATTTTGGATATATTTTTTCAAAAAAAAAATGTTTGTTCATAGAACATGATCAGTTTTTGAAAAAAAAATTAAAATCCCCAAAACTGGTTTAGGGCAGTTTTGGGTGAAACTTTTTCTTCTACTCACAAAACTTCAAGTTTTTTTCAAATAAAATGTATGTCCATACACAACTTCAACTTTCAAAAATTAATTTTCTAACACAACTTCAAAAACTCTTTTTTCAAATTTTAACTAAATCTATGTCCAAAATACTAGTATAGTCATAAAAGTTTAAAGAGTAAAAGTTTATACGTAACTCTTAATTTGAGTGGCTATAAAAGCTTTTCATTAAGGGTAAAATAAATAAATTAAAAAGCTAAAAGTTAAATTATTTTCAATATGTGTCATTCTTTTAAAACGGACTAATAAGAAAATTGTGTCACATAAATTAAAATTGAGGTGCTTCATCTAGACACAAAGCTTATGTACTAAAAATAACGTTAAAACTTTTTGTTCAAATACGTTATGATATTTATATGGCCACAGAGGAATGTAGGTAATGAAAAGTTTTAAGTTAAAGAGTTCCATAACATAGAAAGTTGCACATTTTTCTAAAAGTAAATTAATAAGAAAAGAGTATCATATAAAATAAAACGGATGAAGTATTGGAAGTGCAGAACATTTCATGAATGAAACGCTATTAATCTTTTAAGTCATCATCTTAAATGTGCAATAATGGAACTAATAATATCCACCCTGCCACGTGGACTTGAATTGGGAACCATTTTCAGCTTTTCTCTCTTTCTTTCTAACTCATTCATATTTGCCTGCAGTTGTTTGATATAATTCATTGCCTCATGCATGTGATCTGATACTGATCTTTTGCCCTAATTAAAAAGAAGGAAAAAAACCTTTGTTTAATTTCAATTAACCATATCCAATCCTTTAGAAAATGAATATCTATTAAATACCTTTCCCTTCTTCTTTTTTTCATAGAATTAATTTTCTACATAGGAGGAAAAAATCATTACTTGCCATATATATTCAGATTAAGTTTTAGAGAAGAAAAGGTTAAGGAAATTAAGATAGATATATAATAGGGAAGGTGGAACTTATTTGTACCCATTGACTAGGGGATTAAGATTGGTGGATCCAGGGGATTCCATGAGTTCAACCTAAATTCATTCTTTCTACTTTGAACTAAGTATATATGTACAACTATATATAATAAGATTAGATATATTTTGAACCCACTGATTCTAAAATTATGGACGTGAAAGGGAAGGATAAGGAATTAATTGACTATGAATATACCTTGACACACTGAAGAGGAAGGAGAGATCGGAGAGAAGAGTAAAGGGTAGTCAGTTCTTGTCTTCTCTGACGTTCCGATCCATATCTCTATGCATAACTTTTTTAAGCTTGAACTCGTGATCAGTAATTGAATCTTTTTTATCTGAGTTACTTCTACTACGGTATACACTTGAAATCAGGCACGACCGATTTCCCAGGCTCGATGGATCACTTTAGATCCGAGTTTAAGTAAGTTCGAGTTCGAGGTCGACAGACTAGACTCGAGCTCGAGGATGGAGTGCAATATCCGAAGATAGGAGTGCGAGTGTTGCTCCCAAACGCACA